AGTTCAAGAGAAAGTCAGTTAGATGGTGTTTTGGGTAATCTTCAAGCGGACCCTGGATTAAGAACTCGAATGATAGATTATGATGCTAATATGAGAGATGAGGTCCGAAGATCATATCTACAAAAAGGACCTTGTCAACCTAGAGGTCATAATTTTCCAATAACTAATATGTCAGGAATAAATCGACACTTCATTCCCCAATGGTTTGATGAGTTTGATTGGTTGGAGTATAGTATATCTAAAGATGCGGCATTTTGTCTCTATTGCTATCTCTTTAAAACCAATTTTGAACAAGTGGGTAGTGAAGCTTTCACTTGAGATGGATTTAAGAATTGGAAGAAAGGGAGAGAAAGATTTAAGATGCATGTTGGACCGGTTGGGAGTGTTCATAATAAAGCTAGAGAAGCTGCTACAAATTTGATGAATCAAAATACACATATTGAGACGGCAGTGAGCAAACACTCCGACCAAGCTCGTAAGGCTTATCGCACATGCTTGATTGCATCAATCAAGTGCACTAAGTTTTTATTGCGACAAGGTCTTACTTTTTGTGGCCTTGATGAAAGTGCCACTTCAAGTAATAGGGGAAATTACTTGGGGCTATTGCAATTCCTTGAGATAATGATGATAAAGTTAGAGAAGTTGTGATGGAAAATGCTCCGGGGAATCTCAAATTACTAGCTCCTTGCATTCAAAAAGATCTTGTGAGTGCATGTGCCCTTGAAACACTTGATTCTATCATGGATGGTATAAAAGATAGATTCTTTTCAATATTGATGGATGAAGCACGCGATGTGTCGGTGAAAGAGCAAATGGCTATGGTGTTGCATTATGTGGATGACAAGGGGCATGTAATTGAAAGATTTGTGGGCATCCAACATGTTACTGACACTACTTCAAGTTCACTAAAGGATGCTATTGACACATTCTTTTCTCACAACGGTTTGAGCCTTTCCAAGCTATGGGGACAAAGTTATGATGGTGCTAGTAATATGAGAGGTGATTTGAATGGCCTTAAAACAAAGATATTGAGAGAACAACCTTGTGCATATTATGTTCATTGCTTTGTTCATCAACTTCAACTAGCTCTTGTTGCCGTGGCAAAGAAAAATATAGACATTGCCTCTTTTTTTGCAACAGCTAATAGTATGGTTAATCATGTTGGAGCATCTTGTAAGCGGCGTGATTTACTTAGAGGGCAACTCCAAGAAGAGCTTGTGATAGCATTTGAAAATGATTGTCTTATAACGGGGCGAGGCTTAAATCAAGAAATAAGTCTCAAACGTGCCGGTGACACACGATGGAACTCACACTATGGTACCTTGATTAGCATCATATCTATGTTTTCATCAGTGATTCATGTGCTTCAAATGGTTATTGATGATAATCCCAATGATAGTGCGGGTGAAGCAAATAAGTTAATGAGAGATATACGCACTTTTGAGTTTGTGCTTCACCTTTTCTTGATGAAAGTCATATTGGGGCTCACAAATGATGTGTCACAAGCATTGCAAAGGAAAGATCAAGAAATTGTGAATGCAATGGCTTTAGTGAAATCATGCAAGGAAAAGCTATATTGGATGAGGAATAATGGGTTCGATGCATTGGTTAATGAAGCATCTTCTTTTTGTGACAAACATCATATTGATGTTCCTAACATGGAAGAGGCATATATACTTCCAGGGAGGTTAAGGCGTAATGCTCTAATAAAGACAAATCGTCATCATTATCGTGTGGAGCTCTTCATTTATGTCATTGATGAGCAAATTACGGAGTTAGAAGATCGCTTTAATGAGGTAAATACCAAGTTGCTTATTTGTTTGGCTTGTTTGAGTTCGAAAAATTCATTTGTAGCTTTTGATAGACCAAAGTTACTTCGTCTTGCTCAATTTTATCCTCAAGACTTTTCGGATGAGGATTGTTTGGCACTTGAAGATCAACTTGAGATTTATATTCATTATGTGTGTTCCAGTAGTGATTTCTCTCAATTGGAAGGGGTTGGTGATCTTGCAAAAAAAAGGGTGGAGACAAGGATGCATCAAGTATTCAATTATGTGTATTTGCTCATTACATTGTCTTTAATTTTACCGGTTGCAACTGCTTCAGTGGAGAGGGCATTTTCTGTCATGAATATTGTTAAGGGTCCACTTCGGAACAAAATGGGAGATCAATGGTTGAGTGATAGCTTGATTGTTTATATTGAGAGAGATATTTTTACTTGTATTGAAAATGAAGCTATAATGCTACGTTTTCAAAATATGAAACATCGTCGTGGACAATTATAGCTTGTAATGTTGTTTCCGTTATGAATTATGAATGAAATTACTATGATTTCATTTTCAATATTTTTTCCCACTTTTACACTAAAACCCCGTGTGGTAAGATTCCTGGTTCCGCCACTGGGTGGATATGGTGGGATCTACTCCTTTGGTGTTGTGGGATCGTGAGTGGTGTTGGAGATACTATGACTTCCTTTGAAAGTCAAGGTGGAATTTGAGTGGTAATTGATGTTTCACCTTTTGGTGTTTCCAGTCACAAGGATGCTTCAGAGTTGGTTATCCACACGATCTCTGTTCAACACTGGTTCATGAGTTCTTATGAATCCTGTCATCTTCAACTCTGAGTGAGCTGGGGTTTAATTACATATGGAGTTTGCTCATTGTTCTTGCACTGGTTATTCTTTTTGTTTTTATTTCTACTTTCTTATCTGCAAGAACCCTCCTCTAGGGGCAGTATTCTTTATGTGTAATCTTGTATCTGCCTTCATATCAATGAATCTACTCTATTGGAAAAAAGAAAAAGAAAAAGAATTGGTAGAATCAAATCTACTGTATTTGTACAAAAAAATTACTTATATGAAGTCTATTAAAACTGCCAGCTGGGTTTGAGTCACAATCAGTCTATGTCGTTGACGTGGCTTTAGTCTTATCTTATGAACCTATGAAGCTCGACAGGAACTTACTTAGGTCTTATCCTAATTGAATTTGAATTTTCCTATAGAATATGGATGAGCCCATAAAATCAAAAAATTATATCATACGTGGTGGTCATTGCCATTGCCATTGGTCATGCTCATACGGTCATACATAATGGATGAACCGCAGACTTCCAAAATCTGATGTGGATGGTCCAAATCCAACTTGAATATTAAAATAGGGTGGGTGGGTCCCATACATACTGCCGTTGTTTCCGCACGTCGGTAACGCTAAATCCACATGCCGCCGAAGTGGGTCGCCCGTCGTTTACATTGCTTTACCGTGGTTGCGCCGTGGTTGGGTGGGGCATACCATGTGGGCCTCCTCCGCACTGTCTCTTGCCTGCCTTCCATTCCAATCCATCCATCTCAACAAACCGCGTTCTTCCAAAACTTGTATTTATTTTATTTCCATTTATTTTTTGCATTAATTGACATTTTTGCGCTTGTTCGTTAGTTAGTTTCAAACTTTATTATTGTTGTTTTTAATTATGAGCATTTGAATGACACATTCAATTTCTATCAAATTTCTCGAGCCAATTTCATAACATATTTCTCCTAATTCACTCAAATTTAAACCAAAAGACTCAAATTGTTTTTGAAACTCTAAGTTCCAAAACCGTGCCTAAAATGAATGAAAATAGCTCAAATTTGTATTTTATTGTTAGATGGGATGGCTCTTATGAAATGAAACACTTCTCTAAGTAAAGGGCATGAGGAGTGTCATTTAATTGATATTAATTCAAATTAAAGTAAGGTTTTGCTTTTTTAATTGGTCAATATATGAGTCCATGTAGTTCGTTCCAGCGTACGTGTTGTTGGCGTTTGCCATCCTGCTCATACATACAAAATCCAGTCAAATGCCAAGCCAAACAAACAAACCAACAAAACAGCAGCGACATGTGCTGAGTTAGATTCCTGGACAATGCACACCGACCTTTCGCTGAGTCAGCCCAGTCCAGATACCTCCGGATAAGCCTATACTACAGTTCGTTAACCCACCCCACATTTAACCATGGTTCGTTTACCTTATCCGCATTTTGTCCGCCCATCGTCTATAAAATCACAAACCCCCCACCGCTTCGTCATCAACACAAAGACAACACAAACTCCAACTCCAACTCTTCCTTTCCTCCAATCAAATTTCAAAGATTTCGGAAATGACTTCCATCTCATCCTCATACTTCACTTGCTCTTCCCCTCTTTTCTCCGCCTCAGGATTTGCCAACAACGGCCCTCATTCTCCTCCCTCCTCTATCACATACCGTCCGCTTCGCGTCTCCGCCTCCTGCACATCCACCGTCGACAGGCCACGCACCCGTACTGGATCAAGCTCCTCACTCTACGAGGTACTCGGGATTCACACAGACGCCACGTCTCAGGAGATCAAGTCTGCTTTCCGTAAGTTAGCGAGAGTCGTACACCCGGACGTTGCCACTGACGGGCAAACTTCGGCGGACGAGTTCATGAAAGTCCACGAAGCTTACTCCACCCTCTCCGATGCCCAAAAGCGCGCCGATTACGACCGCATGATGTTGATCAGACGGCCACGTTCTTCTTATTCGTACGCAACAACAATGTCAGGGTCGGCAGCTGGCCGGAGATGGGAAACCGACCAGTGCTGGTAGATTGCAGACATTTCCATATGGATAAATCATTAATTAGGAGAAGCTAATTAATTTAATTAAGGGAAATTAATCAACCGGAGAAGCCTGCAGCGGTGCCTGTCCGTTTGATGTGATGTGACAAACTGCTAGCTAGCCTCCTTCGTTTGTGTGTGCATAAAATTTAGTGATCAATGTCTAAGCTAAGATCCTTGTACTGTAAGCTGAAGGCGCCATTTTTTACAGCCTGAAAATTCTGGGTATTTGTATTCCCCCAATTTCATATCAGCTTGTAACTTGTAAGTTGTAAGATCTACTGTTGGGATGAAACATTTTTATTAAGATAAGTTTTTTATTTATTTTCAATATATTTTCTTGAATAAATATTGAACAACGGAGAGAGGATTCATAGATAAATAAATAACGACACCCTTGCAATGGAAAATAAATAACTTTTAATTCAATTTTGGTAATGAGTTAAAATTCGATCACGGAAATTGGAACTATGGGCTGTATGATGAGAGCCCAACTGAAACACGCGCTTTTTAACTCTTTGATAATGGGTCGGGCCGTAGCTTTACCTTTATGATTCAATTTTAAAAAAAAGGAAATATAAGTAAATTATATTTTACAGTGGTGTGGTGTGGCATAGCAACAAGCTGCAAGAGGAAAAAAGGGGGAGCGATGGCTCAAGTGGGACGCCTTCTTGTAAGGCAATGGCCGATGCTGCAGCAGCATTCCTGTACCTTCCATCATCTTCTCTACTCGCCTTTACTTCCGGTAACCACCAAAACTGGTTCCCATCGTTTCTCTTTGACGAAAGTGCACTTGGCTACTCGCGGCGTCCATAAATTGTTACGCGGACTCAGACCCTCCGACTACCAAGATGCTAACATCGGCAGTTCGGGTTCGGGTTCGGATTCAGATTCGGTTACATATAAGAGCCGCAACGATTTGAAGCGCCACGCCCGCCGTGCGGTCCGCTGGGCTATGGACCTCTCCTGCTTCTCCACCCCTCAAATCAAACGCATTCTCAGGTAACCCAAAATTGAAAAATTTATTCTTCTATTTTTAAAATTAGCTAAGCTATTTTAGTCTAACGTATAATTTCGGTGTTGGGGATGGTAGAGTGGCTTCTCTGGACCAAGACGTGCTGGATGCTCTGATTCTAGTGAAGGTGCCGCCCCTGTAATTGAACTTTTTGGTTAGTTTATTCTTGGCTGTTTCAGACAAGTATTAGCTAGTGATTTGTTTGTTGAAGCTAAGCTGTTTGTGTTATTGTCGCAGAAATTTGGACCTGATGTCCGAGAAGGGAAGCGAAGGCAGTTCAATTATATTGGTATGTGCAAAAACTTTGTGCCGTGCCTAGAAACTAAATTAGGCTTCAACTTTCTTATGTAAATGAATCGAACTCCTATGCTGTTATGTTTCAGCAGTGCTTTTTTCTTTTTGAGTTTCAAATTGGCAACTGTTAGTCATGAACAAGTCAAGTCAAATGTTAGTAACAGAAAACTTGAATCTGTTTAAGCCAATCATTTCTTTCATCTATACGTTCTGTGATCTTATCTTACCAACGTGCATTCAATTTGTGTAAAGGAAAAATGCTGCGAGACGTGGAGCCGGATTTGATGGATGCTTTAATTCAGGCTACAAAAGACAGTGACGAAAGTAAGCTGCAAGCTTTATCTGGTCCAGAGACGTTGAGCATTGATGATAATGAGGAGCAAGAAGAAGAGGAAGAAACTGATTATGAGGAGGAAGAAGAGGTATGATACTGATACTAAGTTTTAAACTGGGCGACAAAGTTTGCTGAAGCTTCCTAAGTAGTTTACAGACATATTTAATCTTATTATTCGAGCATCGATTGCAGGGTTCTCACATTGATGTAGCTACCAGATGGTTTGAAGGTCTGATCAATAAGGACATTCAGATCACCAATGAAGTATATTCAATTTCGAATGTTGAGTTTGACCGCCAGGTAAGTTTAATGCCGTGCTTGCTATTTTAAAGTTTGGTTAAGTGACTTTCCACTAAAAAGCCCTTCATGAGGGCACTAGCATGCGCTTGAACCACCAGGTTATATTCTTTGATGCCCAGCCAGTTCATATTCACTTAAGTCAGTCGATTAAGTCTCATCCCGGTAGTTCGAGCGTCCTAAGGGATCATTGTTTCTGTTTCTTGCTCTTTGTTTCTAATGTTAGCCTCACTTACAGGAATTGCGAAAACTTGTCCGTCGAGTGCATTCAGTTTTGGAAGACAAAGTCAATTCAGAGGAGAATGGGGGAGCGAGAGATGCAGTGAGAGTGAGTGCTGAAAAGTCACTCACCAGGTTCCTTCGTTCCCTTGCTAAAAGTAGCCTAGTGATTGATATGTGATGTTTTAATTTCTATCAAATTTTTTTTTTGGTGCAATTGCGTTATATTTATTGAAGAATGAAGTTGTTTGTTTTCTTGGCTGTACTTTGAGTTGTGCAATTTTTATTTTTTTATTTTCGTAGAATCATACTGCCTAGTCTCAACATTAATGTAGTTGTTTGGAAGTAGTCCAAGTTGGTTCATAAAATTGTTACACAGCAAAGTATTCCTAGTTTTAGTTAGCCACCACAGGCAAAGGAGTTGAAATTCATAGGTTATACAGGCATGGTGCAGATGGTGTTGTCCATTATCTTCCATTTGAATTGTACAAAATCATTTTCTTGCAGTTGACCCAGAATTGGAATGAACTTGAGTAAGTTTGTATTGCCTTATCTCTTGATTCTGTACGAGTGTCCTACTACTGCTCGTAAATTTTTGTTGTTGTCCAGTATATTTTAACTGGATGAACAATGAACTCTACTTCAGGCTGGCTCTACTTTGTAGACTATTAAAAGTTGTCACGGTTCAATCTTACTGATTGAATTGAGGCTGGGAGTTTTGCCTTCAAAACAATGGATTTGAGTTGAAATCATACGAAAGCAGGTGGTGGTTTAAAAAACAAAACTGTGTTTGTACATGCATTGAGTAGGCATGCAGGATCTTACTCGTCCTGTAAATAAAAAAAATCATGGTCGTACAGGGCCTGGCCCTGGACTTTGGGCTTTTGTATTGTGGGCTTCTTATTGAAGACGTGGATGGAACCAAACCAACCTACCGAAGCAAAAAGCCCTTTTGGTTAGATTATTTGTCAGAACATCTTCTTAATTAATTAATTAGTATTTGCCTTGGAGGGTCAGGCCAATTTTGGTCATCAAGTAGTTGATGAGAAAGGGGAAGGGAGGGGAGGGGACAGAGAATAGGATAAAAACACTAGTGTGTGTGGCCACAAGGACACTTGTAGAGGAGAGAGACTTACCTGCACCGGGGATAGGACTGTAGCCCTATCCCCGGTGCAGGCAAGTTTTTTCTCTTGTAGAGAGTGTAAGCTAAGGTCCAGTTCTAGGACGCGAATGAGAAAGTAACGTGGGGTTTGTCATGATAGACGAGAACAAGGTTGGGTATGCAAATAAGAAATCCCTCCCTTTCCTCTGCGGCTGCCTTGCATCACAAACACAATAATGATAATAATGGTGTTTTGTGTAATCAACTTGGCTTTCTTTTTGCATCAGCTGATTTGATAGGATTTATTATTAATTTTTTTTGGGGGGGAGGGGGGCATCCACGTCAATGCTTTTCCGACAAGTTGTTATCATATTTCACTCACTTGATTAAAATCCTACAAAGCAAATTTAAAGTTGGTTTAATCAGCTGATGATGGAATATGTTTTCCAAAGTTTTAGCAACTGACGGAAGCTCTTGGATAAATTTTTCTTTTTAAAAACATTCATTTATAAGAGGGCACTCACTCAACAGTTTGAACATGTTGGGCGAATGTCAATATACCACAAATTGCAATATATTTTCCGATGACTAAAGAGAGACCCGTGTCTCTGATATTTTTGTGCTTTGACAGACAGACAGTCACAATTTCTGATGCACATAAAAAGAAAAGTGGTATATTTTTTTATAGGCATATAATATAAATGCTCATACAAGATATTTTTTCTGACAGAAAAGGAAGAAGATATTTTTTCAATAAGAAACAAAAAAAGAAAAAGAAGAAGATATTTGTTTTTGGTCGTAAAATTTATTGTCAGGAAAGTTGCTGTTTAATAGGAAACGGGCTGTCGGATGTCAGCTGGATTAGCTACTTTTTTGTGATAATCAATGAGGATTGCTTTATGACGAAAGTGAATTTTATATCGGGAGGTGGTCCCTAATAATCCCGTCGACATGGGCATGGACATGGACATGGAGTGCAAGCTCCATCCATTCATTCATTCATTCCAGAGAGAGTCTGTCTGGGATGAAATTTCCTGTTTCATAAGGAATTAGCATAAACCCTTGATTTGAAAGAATTTAGAATTTAAACATTAGAGACGTTACAGGAGGCATTAGAATTCTTGATTGTGAAGTGATTTTAGAGCCCCCGGACTGACTCACTCTGCAAGCATAAACCCTTGACATGTTCTTTGTTAATTGTTGGATTGGATCCCCCTGTGATGTGAGGGCAACAAAACTGTGTAAGGGAAACTAGACTCTGCCTGCAGTCTAATATTTATTAATTTGAGAGGGAAATTAAGACTTGAAAGAGAGAAGAGAAACAGAATAAATATTCCAATAATGCATGCTTTTGTTCATAACACGGATAAATAAATATAAAAAATGAAGTAGGTAAAATGCTTGTGAGATAAGATTTCTTAAACTGTGAATCTGTGATGATTCCCATTAACACCCTGATTTACTGTACCTCAATCAATTGCAAATTAAAGAATAGAATTTGATTTGACCCACACCCAGCCGATCAAGTAAGAACAAGATTAGCCAGCAGCCCTCTCCTCTTGCTTCTCAACTCTTTAATTGGCGTGCTGTGATAGATAGCTAACTTGTAAATACAGAAACATGCTAATGTAGCTAGTCCGGTCTAAGGTGGTGGCTATGAATATAATGCATTTATTTATTTAAAATACACAAACATAATTCAGTTCCTCTCCCAGGGACTGGGGACTGTAGTCTGTATGTTGGAGGAGAAGTCAATGAATTGTCTGCAAATATATACTTGATCGTGATGGATATTTATTATTTAGTTGAATAAATCTGATAACATATTTTCCAACTCCAAGGGCTGCTACATATTCATACTAGTCTTGTTTTTTCAAATGAATCGTTTTCTGGTATGACCATTCTTCCTCGGAGGAGGCGGAGGAGGAGGAGGGAATGGAACATCATGACCTACTTATTTGAAAATTATTGCTATATATATATATGTGTGTGTGTGTGTGTGGATGTGGTACTAGTAGTACTAGTTGATCAATTTGAAGCAGTTGAACGATCATGTGGGTTTCTGAGAGACAGTCTTTGGGAAGTTGAAGCTAACCTTAACTGCATGTTTTCTTTTTATTTTTCTTGTAATTGGACGTTGGCAGCAGCTTAGTCAACTTATAGATACATCGAATAGGTGAAGGATTTTGGTGCGACGATGTTGACCCTCCAATGCTGTCAGCTATCTTATCCCTGGGTTTTAAACACTAGCAGAAGAAACGTGCGCTCGCCACTCAGGCGGTAAATTCTCCGGCTGCTGTTGACAAAGGTCAATTTCCATTGCCATACGATACTTTTATTCATATAATAAGAAGATTTCATAAAATCTGGGAAAACAAACAAAACATGTACATGTGTTGTTTTGTAACCATCTTACTCTTATGTTGCTTGCTAATTTGGTTCGGGGATAATAGACTCTCGGATCTTCTTATTGTTTGAGCAATTTACAAATACCAAAGTATATTACGAATGATTTTATTTGGAAAATCATTGCGTATAGTTTCTAACTAACCTATCAATTTGCATCTCGTCATTAGAGGCATATTCTCTTGTTCTTACCTAGGTTAGGTCGGTGGTGACTGGTGAGGGTGACCCAAACCGAAATGTTAAAATTAAGTGTTGTGGGGATTTTGTGCTATCTGTCCTTTTTATTTTCTTAATTAGCGAAAAAATAAGCCAAGACACTCTGAGAGAGCACATGGACATTTGGTCTTGTCAGTTTGGTTACCTATCATCTGTCATCCTAGATACTTGTCAGATTTTTAGCATGTTGTATAAGTTTTACAATAATGTTACAGGCACCAACTTAAATACCAATAACTTATGTGTCATATCACGTGTCTATCGTCTTCTCCATCACATTGTACGTTTGTCAATGGACAGCAAAAGAGAAAAGCCATATCGAATCAATGGACGTTTGTCAATGGCAATAAAAAGTTTATGCCTGTATCTTTACTGTTAAGTTTTAGGCTTCCATGAAATGAAACTAATAGATGGTTTATGGTAGAACAACAACCTACCATTAATAGCGGTTGACATATTAGTAAAAGTTGATTGATCCCACCACTTTCTCATACCAAAACGAAGAAAAACAAAACCCAAGCAATAATAGAATAGGCACTTTTTCATGAATTGTTAGCCTCCATATTTTATTACTTTTATAGTTCTCAATTGCAGCAACCAACTATGGCCGGCTTAGAGGTCCTAGTATAAAATAAATGTAATTGGATACGCACAATTCATTATTAATTTGTTGTCAGTAATGTTACCAATAATATACATATTTTTTTTTTTTTTGTACTCCTATCATTAGCATGATTGTATTTGGATCCAACAAAAGTCATATATATGACTCCAAAAATAAAAAAGGAAACGAGTTGGAGAGAATATCGGGGTGAAAGGGAAATAGGTTTTTTTTACCCAAAAATAAAAAAGGAAAGGGAAATAGGTTTTTGAGAAAGTGCGGCAAAATTAAGAAAGTCGGAATTTTTTTTATTAATAACTTGCTTTCCAAAAAAATACTAAGGAAAGAACTGCTCTATTACTCCTATTCCTATAACTAGTAAGTAAGAACTTGCTCTCCAAATATTACTAGGAAAGTAAGTTCCGTTGCTGCCTGCCTAAGCCTTTATAAATACTCGTACTCCTCGTCACTTTTTGAGAATCTCACCTCTGCTCTCTGCTCTCTCATTATCCTCTATCTGCAGTGCCGAGATCCCAGCCCTGCAGAGATTCCTTCAACCTCCTCCAATATTTTCCAGTTGCTCTGTTTCTCTTCTTGTCTGAACTTATGGCTCCATTAGCATCATTGTTAGTGTCCCTGTTAACCATACTTGGGCTATTCACATCAGGTAATTCTTCAATAATAACAAAACTATCTTCTACTAACCAAAATTTTCTCAATTTCTGCAAACTAGTGTAAATTTGTACGTTAATTTTTCATTCTGTTTCTTGCCTGCAGGAGTTCTTTCAACCACATTCACAATGGTGAACAAATGCGAGTACACAGTTTGGCCTGGCATTCTCACCAACGCCGGCGTGCCTCCGCTTCCGCCCACCGGCTTTGCTCTCCAAAAGGGCGAGACCAAGACCATCTCTGCCCCAACCTCCTGGGGCGGCCGCTTCTGGGGCCGAACCCTCTGCTCCCAAGACTCCTCCGGCAAATTCTCCTGCGTCACAGGCGATTGCGGCTCCGGAAAAGTAGAATGCGCCGGTAACGGCGCTGCCCCTCCCGCCACTCTCGCCGAGTTCACCCTCGACGGGTACGGCGGCCTCGATTTCTTCGACGTCAGCCTCGTCGACGGTTACAACCTCCCTATGTTGGTGGTCCCACAGGGCGGCAGTGGGACCAACTGCTCGAACACCGGCTGCGTGGTCGATCTCAACGGCCTTTGCCCTTCCGAGCTCAAGGTCACCAGCGCCGACGGCAGAGAAGGCGTGGCCTGCAAGAGCGCGTGCGAGGCGTTTCAACAGCCGCAGTACTGTTGCAGCGGCGCGTATAGTACACCGGACACTTGCAAGCCGTCATCTTACTCTCAGATATTCAAGAACGCTTGTCCACATGCCTACAGTTACGCATACGACGATAGGACCAGCACCTTCACATGCGCTGCTGCGGATTACACCATCACTTTCTGCCCCTCGCCTAGCACCAGGTATTTTTTATTCATATTTACTCATTTCTCCTTCACATTCCCTTCCCCGCCTCTTTCGTCTTTTAACGTTGTGAAGGGTAGTTTTGTCCCGATAAATAAGTTGGTAAGAAAGAAGCCTGTCAATATGAACGTTGGGGGTTGGGGGTTGGGGTTGTTTATTTTTCACTTTTTACTTTAATAACTTTTGTCCGTTAACTTTAACACAACGGAATATCGGTAATTAGTCAGTGTCAGACTGTCAGTGATGGCGGATTGATGAACGGGCGTTTGGTTTGCTAGAACAACCACCACTACACACGGCTACCACCCGACCCCGTTTTTGTTGGTCTGTCTCCATTGCGAATGCAGAAGCAGAAGGAACGCATCTCTCTGAATCTGGAGAAATAACAAAGATGCATTTCTACGCCAAAAAGCGTAGATCCCGATGCTCTTCAAAACCTAGAGATTCGATTCGATTCGATTCGATTCCCTTTTGTTTAATTAATAAACACTCGCACTTGGCATCGCATCGCACACACTCCAACAAACTTGTCTCCTTATTTACTTTTGCAACGGTCCATAATTTGCATTTTAATTTTTGTTTAGTGTGGGTAAATTAAATTTACTGACGGTAAGTATTATTATTTGTGGATTTGTAATTGCAGCAAGAAAGAGTCTCAGGGACAGAACACACAGCCACAGCCTACAAATACTACTTCAGGTACACCGTCGTCTACAAGCAGCTCACCGGAGCAGATAAACAACACAATGGAATACGAAGGTGCCTCGTACGATCAAAGCCAAGCATCGTCGTCCACGAGTACTACGTCACACGCAATTGCGGGTTTGGTTACCGTCGCGCTGGCCATTCAGCTGCTGTCGCAGCTCGTCATCTAACTTCTTCCGTGATGGTGGCCCATAACTTGGGCCCAATCGGGGACGTGGACCCTGCAACTTTTTTGCACCAGTTTTATTTTTTATTATTTTTTAATAATTTTATATCGCATGGGTCATGTGAATTGCTTAGTGGGGCCCATGTGACGTGGATTTGAGTCATTGATTGAAAAGCCCCCCACCCGTCTGCTTAAGCCCCTTGTTCAGGAATTGGACAAGTTGGGTTCTAAAGGCGAATGAACAAGTTGAAGGGGCACCCAATTAGAATTTAGAATAGATTAGATATGTAGAAATGCAAAAATTTGTGGTAGTGGACAACAACAACACGTGGACATGGACATGGACATGAAGATGAAGATGAAGATGAAGTAGAGGCTAGAGCTGTTGGGTGGCAGGAATATTTTAGATAATTTTTTTAATTTTTGGTCATCCAATTCTTTATGTTAAATGGAGGGTCGAAATTGGTTTGTTTGTATTTTAGGGAATGTTGCCATACAAATATAGGGAAGCTTTTCTCTTTCCATTTGATGTCACTTGGTCACCAAGCATTGAATTGAAGCTCCCATGTTATTATTTCAATTTGACATTTATGTTATATGAAGCAATAATTAAAAAAAAATTGATTCTAATGGGCTAGCTAGGGATAATGTAAATAATTGATGCTTGAGTTGAGATCACCTTAATTTCACAACAAATAATGAAGCTGTCTGCAACTGCAAACCTATCATGGGTTGGGTTCAATCATGAGAATACCTACGTGACATGATGATGGCCTATTAATTAGCCTTGGTGGTGATCATGCTCCAACTTAATTACTGAAAGATTAGAAGCAAAGGTGTAATGATTGAATTACTTTTTCTGTTGTGTGTATTCATGTCACAAAAACAACACGACGCTGTCACAATTTCTCTCATTCCACACAATACCTCGTTGTCTTACTGTTTAAAAATGCTTCTCTGAAATTGACGCATGCAGATTTGGGTTTTGTTGTGGATACAATTCAAACAATTCTCACCATAAAAAAAACTTTAACTTATTTCTTGATAAGAATATGAATACGTGTTGGCAACTTGAGCTTCTTCTGTTCTGTAGAGAGATTAAACAAAGACATCACTTTCTGAAATTTTCTTTTAATTACTAGCTTGGAGCTAGCTCGGTGATTGTGTGTGTGTGTGTGTATGCAAGCAAAGATTCTTATGCGGCTGTTAGAGGTTTCGAAGAGGCCGCAAAAGGTCAGCATCAAACACATATATATTGTTCATTCATTCGTTCCTTGATGCTCCTGTCTTTTGTTGGTCGCGCATGGCAGCTTCCGTCACTCCACCACCAGCACACAACAAGAATGAGAGTGCACCGTTCGTTCATGCATTATCTGCCTTTATTTAATGTCCATCCATGACTCATTGGAGGAGGATTTCATTAAAAACAAGGCTTATATTTATATCTGTGCTTGCTGCTGCTGTGCACAGTGCAAGACTAGCGCCGCATATTCATTGATTTACAGTCTTCTTCACTCTTCCTTAATTTCTGGTTCAGCTGCTGCTCATACTCATTGTGGATTTCATATGTAACCAATCCAACCAAATTGGCTTTATATATGTTGCTTTGCTAATTCTATCCAACCAAACTCTACGTCTACTAGATTGTATATTGTAGCTGCAGGCGCTCTCACAGATGATGGAAAACCCATCTAATCCAATCCATTTTTTACTGCTCTTTCACCATCAAGTTGGGGTTGGGCTGCAAATCCATGACACTTGCGCACTGCTGCACTGCATGCCAAATTAATTTGATCCTTACATGTACGAAACGTATTGTTTTATATATCAAGTTGAAAAAGGAGGAGGCTTAATTGAATTCCTAGTCATGATGAATGGGATGTTGGACCAAAGGGCAGGACAGCTACCACGCTTGGAAGTTGGGGGGGCTCAGCTTTTCAAAGGTTCTGACTCATACAAAACAAAACTAGCCTTCTACTTAACTACTAGCTCCTCCTGCCTCTCTTTTTTAATCTTCCTATTATATATATATATATATCTCCACAAATTAAAACTTTGATATAAATATAAATATATATGATTGGTTTCTGTTCCGGCATCAGTGTCATTAATAATGGAAACAGATAGAGCCTGAAATGTGCAGTATGCATAATAGCCGCCCGAATATATGGAAATTAACAAATTGAAGCAATTGAAGTGAGTGAGTGTGTAAGCAGAACAGATGATCCTTCATTTTCAGCCCAATCTCTCTCTCTCTCTCTCTCTCTCTCTCTCTCTCACTACGACTACTGCTTACTTTATATTCGCCAGTTTCACACTCAATCATTTCAATGCGAAACTTGCGTCCATTCTTGACCAACATGTAACCTGTTGTTGGAAGGAAAACACCTTTTTTTTTTCTTTTTTCTTTTTGGTGCGTGTATGTGTGTTAATCGCTACCTGAATCAGTGAATCTGCCCCGTATAAAGAAGCTTTATCATATAGGGGAAGAAAAACCAGGACTGATCAGAGAAAGTTGGTGGTCGTATGGTATGCTAAATTGCTAATGCTACTAAGAAAATAAGCATGCATGTGTTATATATTTTGATCATGGTAATTGTGAAACAATATGCTACCTAGTTTTAGTGCGTTTATGGATAAGGTGTTGGACTATGATTCCATTCCAACTAACAAAAAAATCATTACTTTCTGTTTTTATTTTTATTTTATTTTATTAATTTTAAAACTTTCTGTTTAACTAAACTAATAATTCCTATGAAATGGGCTAATGTAAACAGTCTACAAAACTAAGCCCATGAGCCCAACTAAGTAAACCAGCTCATGAGCAATTTGTCTTATTTGCCCCAAAACACTTGCGCCATTAACTCAACCCCAGGACCTAAGAAAAAACCCAAACTCAACTCTCAGTCAGAGCCGGTCCATTGATTTTGGAGGCCCTGTGCAAATATGGATGTTGAGGCCCTACATATACAAGTAGGAGAAAAAAATCCATATAGAAACAAAATTTTCCGACACGGGAAGAACACCTTCGGAAAGAGCTTCCTAGAAAAATTTCTTTAGTCACTCTTCCAAATCACAGAGCTGATAAATTGATTTTCCAATTTCAATGCTCGGTGAATTCTCATGTGAATGAGGGAGGGAGAAAAGAACTGTGATTTTGGGGAAAAGGCTAAAGCTTGGGTTTTTACAATCCAAAATTTGATGGAGGTGGTACACTGGTACTGAAGAGAAAAGGATTTATTTTGATGGAGGAGAGTGAGAGAGACTTACCGAAAGAGAAAAGAATATTATAATGAGAAGAGGAAAACGAACTAAATTAGGGCCTCTACTCTCTAAGTCGTGGAAGTTGTTGATAATTAATATTCAATTCAATTTTGGTTTTGGTTTTGGGGCCATGCATGTGGCGTTGTGGGTGCCATTGGAGACATCCCCAATCCCTACAAACTCTACGTAATATCTTCTTCTTTGCCAATAGACTTTACAATACACAAAGAAGAAAGAAAAGGATTATCTTCGTGCATATTAACACAGTACAAAGAAAGAAAATAGGAAAAAGACATTTCAATTTCAATCAACTGAACATCACATTAGTTTTTTTTATTTTGATCCACGTACTATCATCTCTTTTTCAGGACCAACTGCAACTGCGTCAAGTTGCTTAAAAGTACCAACAAATGAAACGACAGTCGTTGGATAACACCCTGTGCACTGTGCACAATATGGGGTTGCGAATTCTTATCCTAAAATATGATGGACATTAATTTGGTCCAAGATAAGAGAACTTTCTGCTGTTAATTCTTGCACATGCTGCAAATTATAAATATATATATATATATATACATGGAGGATGGAGCGCCAACACCTTTTGCATTTGCAGCGTAGACATTCCACTTCTGCATGTCATCATGTTGGGTTCCTCCAATAACTTGATAACCTATATATATAGGATTTCATCACTTTTTGCATTTGCATGCATATATGGTCAAAAGATTTCCAAACCAATAGTTTTGTTTTTGTTTTTTGGGTCATAACAGAACCACTAGTTTTGGTGTGCTAGGGCTTGGATTGTTATCAGCCACAAATTAATATCTTACCCTTAGACAACATACTTTAAGCAACTTCAACTTTATCCTCAACTGTTATGATTATGAGTTAATAGGATGATTAATCAACATCTTGTCATAGTGTACTTCTATTGAGGGATTCCTCAAATGAACACCCTTTAGGGCTCTCTATGAATTTTTTTATGATTTTATTAAGTCTATATTCATAGATCATCTTTGCAAAAAATTAGACAAATCGGAAATTGTTTCGACATCCAATTATGTCCTACAAAATCAATGAACACAATGCTTCAAGAAAGTACTAAAATTTTAATAACTCAATTTAGTGGTCAAACGATATCGGATTCAAGTGATTTTTTGTAGAGATGATCTTTGAATGATTATCTAAAAAATAAACTGTTTGGATTAGTGAAATACAATGTAAAGTGGGCATACAATGGTGTCCCTCAAATAAGCTTATTCGAGGGATTCCTTAATGAAAACTTTATATTAATGCCATTCTCTACAGCTAATTAAGCTAGCTGATCGATCATTCTTCAATTTAGGGTTGGTGGTTGTGTGTTATTCTAAGTATAGTCTTTTGAGGTGGATACTACAGATATTCTACAAATCACAGTCATCATCAATACAAATAAGCAAAGCAAAAGAACTACATATATACAAACTTTCGAAAGATGCACGTGTCATTGCCCGAAAAGTGGTAAACTTTTTCCACATGCATGCTATGTATCATGTAGCCATTACACTTCACCGCAGAACAGAAAAAATATGCTTTGTTGACATTCTGGATACCCAATTTATAAGCTTTCTTGTCATTGATGGTAACTTACATTTGGCTTTGGGTATGCTCAATTTTCAATGAACCTTATTCGTTTCTAAACTCTTTTGAGGGCACTAATTTAATGAAGTAAAAACTTAATCAAAGGAAAAATTGTCAAAAAATATGTCAGAAGTGGGATTTGAACCCACGCCCTCTCTCGAAGACCAGAACTTGAGTCTGGCGCCTTAGACCACTCGGCCATCCTGACTATGCTAACTTTGTGATTTTTATCTTTATATACTAATTAACCAAATAAATAAATAAATAAATAATTCGAATTCGAAAATCATTAAGAAAGACTCGGTTCCAATCCAAGTTCCAACTGTCACATTTTCCAGCCAAATAGCGAATGGTAAACAAAGTGTTAAAAGACAAGAGAGTCCCACAACGGAAGTGCATTCCACGCCACCATGTATGCTGTGACGTGGAGCTGTATCAGCAATGTCGGTTACTCCAAGCTTTTGCTTCACCAGATCCTAAACTAAACCCCAGCTTCATGTGATGAAATGATTTTCTCCTTCAACACCCAAAAACAAAATAAGAAACGTAAGTTGTTTGCATGTGTTTTCACAATTTCTAAACTGATTTAAGCAACAAATCACCCATAAGCTTAAGTTATGAACAAAAACATCAACAAACAGTACACGTGGCGATCTGGGAAACACAACAGCTATGCTCTCACCGCCCCACGTGCTAGGTTTCCCATCCTTATGCAAAGAGTTCCTTTTCCAACGCAATCTCACGTACGATTCAGCACTATGTCTCAATTCCACTAACCCTTTTTAATTTATTTAGCAAAGAAACTTCCTTTTTCTTTGGGTACATTTGCATACACTACCATAATTTGAAAATTATTTATTAATAGCTGAATTTTGTTTGAAGAATAATGAAATTGATTCATAATGTGCATGGCACAATGAAAAATGTATAATATATCTAACTTTCAACTTTTGAAGAATTGTTTGCCGTGATTCGGTTCACTATCTCATCTAATTTCGGTGAAATGAATACAATGTTAGATATATATGCATATGAGATTATGAGAATCTAATTCCGCCTAGTAAAGTAAAGTTGTGAACCCCATAGATTTTTTGAGGATGCTCTCATTGACATTATTGAATCATTGAATATGGGAAGGAAGGAACCCAAAAGCAAGATTCTTCAACATATACAATTAATGGTCGGAACACGTTTGTTAAGTGGAGCTTGTTGATACTTGATACATTGATACATAACCAAATCAAATTATACATGCTCCAATAAAGGAGAATAGATCAGTTCAAAGAATGAATTATGTTTTTTCAAACTCGTTTATTCATTCAACTTTAACTTTTTTAGGAACTAATACTATATACATCAAGTGGAAATTTACTTGATACAGGTTCACCTAATGCTTTCAATTTTACATTAAACGAACCTCCCCTTTAATATAAATAAATAAATAAATAAATTCAAGCCATTGAACTATGCCATGGCAGTACATGTTCATGCGTAGAAAACTATGAGATTAGACAACAATGACGTAAGGTAGTCACATTACACTACACTGTCGATACACGAGATACTATAAGATCACAGCTTGACATATATGAAAAATATTTCATCAAAAACACAAAAAGAATAATCTATACACGCATCTTAAACTATGATTGACAATAGAGTAAAAATTCCTACTTCCAAGAAGGAGACAAGTATTTTTCCCATTTATTTTTGCAGCAACTTTCCCTTGGATTGAGTGTTTGACCTGCGCCTGCGCTGAGAGGTTACGTGGCTCCTATATATATTTTTGTCATTATACAAAGTGGTTCCATTCCACCTTATATAAATAGTGACATGCAAACCACAAAACACACCAAATGAATCCCACACGATTTCTTCCTTCACCCTCAAAATCTGTTTTCTATTCTGCATTCATTTCCATCTCTCTCTCTCTCTCTCAAATTATTTGTCTTAATCACAATTATTAATCTTCTTCTTGAAGTTTATAAATCCTCTCTCTCTCTCTCTCTCTCTCTCTCTCTCTCTCTCTGTGTTTGTGGATATCTAGTCCAGTCAATACAAGCATTCTTTCAGTACATAATAAAATATTTTCAACCATCACCAAAATCACTGATAATTCCCCTAGTAACATTCTCCAAAATGGATCTGAATCTGATGGCCATCTTCCATTTTTCTCCTTTGTACATCACCCTCATTTTGTTTACAATTTTCAAAGGTACGTGTGTATGCATTGCACTCATTTTCGATATTAATTGCCTCAAGATGTTTTAAATTTATATTATTATCACATTATTTATGTTTAAAATTAAACTTAACATTTCTTCTTTGATCTATATATGTAAATTAATGTTACAGGCATATCGGGAGCTACATTTACAATCATAAACAAGTGCGACTACACTGTATGGCCCGGAATTCTATCCAATGCCGGCAGTAGCAGATTAGACAGCACCGGCCTCCAACTCCAACCCGGCGCCTCCCGTTCATTTCAATCCCCACCCAACTGGTCAGGCCGATTCTGGGCTCGAACCGGTTGCAACTTCGACCCCACCACCGGTCAGGGCACCTGCACCACCGGCGACTGCGGCTCCAACCAAGTCGAGTGCAATGGCGCCGGCGCTATCCCACCAGCCACTCTCGCCGAGTTCACGATCGGCGGCTCCGACAACCAGGATTTCTACGACGTCAGCTTAGTGGACGGCTACAACTTACCCATGATGGTGGAGCCGAGCGGCGGGTCGGGTAGTTGTTTGTCGCCCGGGTGCGCAACCGACTTGAACCAGCGGTGCCCGGCTGAGTTACGGGTCGGGGACGGTGCGGCGTGTAAGAGTGCGTGTGAGGCTTTTGGGAGCCCGGAGTATTGTTGCAACGGCGCGTTTAGTACCCCCGACACTTGTAAGCCGTCGGTTTATTCGGAGATGTTTAAAGCCGCGTGTCCCAGATCGTATAGCTACGCGTATGACGATGCCAGCAGTACATTTACTTGTACTGGAGCTGATTATACCATAACATTCTGCCCTTCCACAGCAAGGTAATTTATATTTTATTCATAATTAGTGTTATCTTCTTTCCCAATATTCCCGTTTTGCTTTTCCTGCAACTTTTTTCATGTACTATTATTATACTAATCTTTTGTGAGCCACAAGCCAGCAGCAACTCTCATTACTAGGAAAGCAGATTACTATTGATTCATTTTGATTGTTCTTCAATGTTAGATAAATAATTCTTAAAGAAATCAGCTACTTGGGTTGGGTTGGGTGGGTCTCATTTACATTTTCTCTACTTATAATTTGATTTATATGTGGTGCATGCAGTCAAAAATCTGCAAGTACGTCTCCAACAAGAAGTAATGGATCGGGGCAGATAACAACCACAACAAATAACGGGTCTGGAGGTGGGAGTGGGACGACAGGAGAGCTCCCTGCGGTGGTGGGAAACAGTAACAGTCCTTTTCCGAACTTTTTCACTGGAGACTCAACGAAGACCCTTTCTTCTTCTGCTCTTTACACTTCATTGGTTGCTTCCTCTGCCACTTTATTTCTCTTTATTTCTCTATAGTTGCTTCATTCTTAGTCTCCTATCCTATATAATATATATATATATATATATGCACGCACGTGCGAGCCTCGGAGGCCGATGAGGAAGTCCAGAGGTTGTAAAGTATAGAGAGAGACGACGATATAGATTAGATATCGTTTTAGCATAGAGTAGTATATAAAGATACAGTTTTTGTTAATATTTTTTCTTCCCTTGGCAAGTTTTTGGACGATAGCAATTGGTGGGTTAGTGTACGAATGAAGTATCTAAGAAAGAGCATTTTGAGATTGAGGCAATGCCATTACTCCAATTCATTTTGAGATTGCAATGTCAGTGAAAAACAAAGTGTTTGCTTATCTTTGAATCCATCTAGTCCATACGTAATTTGGTTGGTGAAACGTTGGGCACCAGCTGCTAAACAGAATAAACTTCGCTGGAACTACAAGCTTTGCTAGTTCTCGTCTCTTTGAAGTTTTTGACCCCGCGAATCGCAATGAGATGTAATTATGGTCCATCATTTCATTTGGTACTTGAGAAAATCTGACCAGCTCCCTGCTAAACTTAGATCGGAAGAATTGTTTGTGGCCCAGAGCCAGTTCCTTAAAAACCCTAAACCAAGATGGAGTTTTCTTCTTCGGTCCTATACCAGCCAAGATAAACTTGTCTACAATCTGCATTATAAATAAAACTCAAAGATATATCATACTAGACATTAGAGAGCGTGCGCCTGCCTGTATATAACGCTGCAATTACTCAACATTGTATTTTGCAAAGAAAGTACATGGCATAGTCTCTCTGAAACTCATTAACTAGATGCTGGAGACAAAATTCTGGTTTATATGATTACAGTAAATCTATTACCTAATGTCTTTAACTTAACCAAATGAAATCAAAAAGTGCAATGCAGCGATTTCCCATTTCTCCAGAAACTGAACCGTGAAGGGCCAAAGCCCATTGTAACACCCCACCCTATCAGCTATAGGCAACCTACAACTCATCCTTCAGTGTATCTGCATCAGCCTCAGGGGTAGCTGTCGCTTCATTTGTAGCAGTTTCTGTCTCAACCTCTTCAACATCTTCTTCCTCCTCAACTGCAACATCAGGGTTTATGTTTAGGCTAGACTTCACTGAACTGTAGATGCGGGAGGCAAAATCCTTGGGGTCTGGAAGATTGAAACCGCTCTCCATGAGTGCAGTCTGGTAAATAAGCTGTGCTGTCTGCTTTACGCTCTCATCCTGAAGAGCAAGCAAAAATATTGAATAAGATAAACGGGATTCACTAACAATTCAACAAATGGTTTTTTTCTAAGACATGCTTTTAAACCCAACCATAAGAGTAGGGATAGGCCTGGGCTTCTTTCAATTGCTTAACAGACCTCTGATAGCAATGTGCCTATTTATTCGTGTAAACCACCTAAATGAAGAACCATTTTGATTTCATAACAAAGACAAAGATCGGATCCCCAAATGAGACTCAATCAGAAATGAAACAATTTTAACCAATGAGAGAAATCCAGGTTACATAGGTCAAGATTTCTTGAAAATATTTTGCAAGGAAGACCCACCAGTCATTTATAAATGTTGGAGACCGTTTAAAAGCTAACACGATCATGAATGCACATATGATTTCATTCTGCGGAAACTGAATATATGTTTCCTCCATTCACATTTCTGAATATGTAAGTGAAGGGGAATAAGTCTAGAACATACCTCAGCATTCTTTACTACTCTCTCCCGGAGCTCCTTGATGATTGGGTGCCTTGGGTTAATCTCAAGGACCCTCTTGCCACGCATGTATGCTTGTTTGTTAGCATCTGATAAAGTCTGAGACTGCATGATCCTCTCCATGTTTGCACTCCAACCATACTTTGATGTCACAACCACACAAGGCGTGTCAGCCAAACGGTTGGACAGCTTCACATCATCCACATTGTCACTGGCAAGAGCACTCTTCCACCATTTAGTGAGTTCCTTGTATGATTCCTTGACTTCCTTGTCTTTTGAGTCTTTACCAAGTTTCAAACCCTCCTTTGACACGTTCTGGAATTTCTTGTCTTCATAGTCCATCAAGTATTGCATCAGATATTCATCAACTGGATCTGTGAAGAAAATAACCTGCAACAATAGATATAGAAGGTAAATAGAGACACACAAAAAAAGCCCTTCCTCGTGACTCAAACAAGTGGGAAAGTAACAAATATCCCTATTTAAACAACTGCAAAGATTGAATATCTTTTATATGTACCTCATAATTTTTCTTCTTAAGCCGCTCAATGAATGGAGATTTTTCCAACTGTTCTTTGCTGGCTCCAGTAATGTAAAATATGTCCTTCTGCCCAGATTTCATCCTTGAAATGTACTGATCCAGTGAAGTCAATTTTCCATCTGACTTGGTGCTGCCAGAGAGTTCAAAGTTGGTCATTCAACCCCATGAAGGCGAGTATAAGGACATTTAGTGCTGCCAATAAAACTACACATAAATAGCCATAAAATATGTTTACCTCTCAAATCTTAGGAGTTTTGCCAAACGATTCCTGTTAGCCGCATCTTCAATGATACCAAGCTTAATGGACTTGCCGAATTCATTCCAGAATCTAGTATATTGGCCTCTCTTCTCATCATCATCACTGGATTTCTCAAGCTCTGTTTTCGCATCAAAATTCAACACAAAGCATAAATGAACAATTAATGCAAACTTAGTAACTCTCCCCTCTGTTAGCATCACTAACTTTTACAAAAAACAGCAAAACATGAAGCTCAAGTTGTTGGTTTTCAAGGGTTGGTATTAATGCAAGTTCAACTGGGATGCAGTAAACATGACATCAATGCACCATATACGCTCTGATTGAATACTCCCAGAATTGTACAAAGAAACTGCTTGCAAATATTAACAAGAAGCAATTTTATGTGCACCATACCTTTCTTGTCTTTGTCATTGGACTCATCAGGATCTTCCTCAGCAAGTTTACGGATCATATCAAGGGCTTTCCGGATGAGCTTCTTCTTAATTGTCTTCAAACTGCTGTGTTGTTGAAGCATTTCTCGTGATACATTGAGTGGCAAGGTGTCAGAATCAACAAGACCCTGATCATAAGATTATCAATGTAAAAACCAGATTTGGTAAGCATGTAAAAACCAATCCAATCTCATAAACCTAATTGCGAGAACTTAAAAATATCCTGCATTACCTTCAAAAAATTCAGATACTTTGGCAAAAGCTCATCAAATTCATCTGATATGAAAACCCTTCTAACATACAACTTCAAGTTGGATTTATTGGCATTATAGTAGCTCTCATATAGATCATGAGGAGCCTTAGGAGGCACAAACAGGACAGCCTTGAATTCCACGTCACCTTCAGCGGTAAAGTGGCTCCATGATAAAGGCTTCTCATCACCAAAATCCTGTTGAACAGTATAAATATGTAAAATTGATGAATACACAGAATATGAAAGGTGATTTAGTTCCCAAAAACATTCCACAAGGTCATGCAACCATAAGAACATTACCTTGGCAATAGAGTGATAGAATTTGGTGTACTCTTCATCAGTTACTTCCTTTGGATTGCGCAACCATATAGCTTTAACATCATTTAGAAGCTCCCACTCATAAGTAGTTTCTTTTATTTTCTTTGTCTTTGGTTTTTTCTCAGAATCTTCATCTTCATCTTGACTTTTCTCAGTTTCTTCCTCGGAGGATTTGCTTTCAGCTGTTCACAATCATTGGGTAAAAGCAGGGAGGCAAGAATAGGTAAGAATATGCATCGAACCAGATGAAATTTTAATGCTTAGAAATATAATTAATTTCTGCTATCAGCACTAAAAGCTTTTACAAACATATTTGAGAAAAGAATTTGAAAAATGGGTGCATACGTGATTCTTCCTCATCAGAGGACTCATCCTCATCGGCAGGAACCTCCACATCAACCTCTTTGCTTGCCCAGAGGTGGATGGGGAAGTTGATAAATTCAGAATATTTCTTCACCAACTCCTGCAAAAAACATAAAACAATCATCAAATTATCATGGCACCATAAAACAAAAATAAGAACAATGCATCCAAGTAACAGAGATGAGAACGTTAATGGTTATATAATAGGCATAATTAAGAGGGGAGTAATAGTTTGTACCAGCACCCAGGAAAATGGGGAACCAATGCAAGTAAAAATTGAAATGAAATAAAATGGGGAACCACTTACTTTTAGTTTGCTCTCTTCCAAATATTCCCCTGCTTCTTCTCTAAGATGCAATCTAATTTCAGTACCACGTCCTAGTGGTTCATTATATGTATCCTCGGAAACTACAAATGACCCATCAGCCTTTGACTCCCAAACATGCCTGAAACACAAGAAATTTATATGATCATCATATAATAGTTAAGGTGTGCCCCAAGAAAACTGTTAGCATAACAACATCAATGAAAGAGTAACTCGAATTTTAAACACTTACTGTTTGTCATCATTGTGTTTGCTGATGACTTCCACATTATCTGCAACGAGGTATACAGAGTAGAACCCAACTCCAAATTGCCCAATAAGATTGAGATCACCACTTGTCTGCATCTTCTCCACAAAGGCTGCAAGCAAAGTAAATACGAATTAAATCAGTATAACCAACACATAATTTCGCTGGAAATTTTCAGACTCAATATATAAAGCAATATATACCTGAAGTTCCAGATTTTGCTATGGTTCCCAAGTTCTTGATTAAGTCCTCCTTTGTCATACCTATACCCCTGTCACGTATGGAGAGGATTCTCTTCTCCTTGTCTAACTTAATCTGCACAGGTTATTTTTTAGACAATCCAACAAGATTCAATAACATATATCGCTTGGTACGCTTCATAAATTAAAAGCAAAGCAAGCAACATCCACTAACCTGTATTTCGAGGTTAGTGTCATCGCCTTCACCCAAAATCTCCTTGTCTGTAAGGGCAAGGAATCTAATCTTGTCGAGCGCCTGAAATCGAGAAAAGTTTTCCATTAGCATCGAAATCATGACAGGTCAATGATAAAACATTGTACGAGATAAATTAGTGTCAAAGGTTTACATCAGAAGCATTGGAGATCAGCTCCCTGAGGAAAATGTCTTTGTTGCTATAGAGAGAGTGGATAATAATGTCCATGAGCCGAGACACCTCTGCCTGGAACTGAAACTGTTCCGCGTTATTGCGGAGTGATCTCTTTGAGATTGACTCGGCCTCCCTACAGTGGCAGTAAGTAATACACATCTATTCAGAAACTGCTAAAGAGGCTTCAAATTCATAAAACTCAGATATTGATAAACCTCCCACCTCTTAGCGACGTCAGAGTCGGTGGATAGCCCATTGGGAACAGCCCCGATCTTGTCCTCAACCTTTGGTGGATCTACGAGCTCCTCAGAACTACCCTCTGCACTGGCCTGTAATTTCCGACCTGAACAAACATAGATCCCCAAAACCCTAATCAATTTCAACTTCCAAAGATGAACATCAAAATTTAGAAACATTTACTTAGAGCAATGCAGCATTGACTAATGAAGATCTATAGAAATGAACAGAAACGATAGATTATGAAAACCCTAGCTTACCCTGATCCGGCAGGAGAGAGAGAAGGCACAGCAGAAGCAGAGCGGAAGGGATCGTCCACTTCCTCATCTTACTACTCCAACACACTCGAAGAAGTTGTTCTAGTAACTTCGCTCACTGAGATAATCCGTTTCAGTGCTTACCAACGTCTCCTAGCTTAAGTTTTTATACATAGCTCTGCTGTTAGACGGAGAGCGTAATGTTAACGGCAACTTGACATTGGATTGGCCTAGTTTTGCCAGCGTGGCGAACCAACGCTTCATGATTTGTTTCTGGATACGTGGCCGGATTTTATTGGGCCTGCTCTGTTTCCTTGACGTGGAGACACAAGGAATTGCGGACGGGCCCACCGACGACTTGAGATCTCCAGTCTGCTTGACCCATCCGATGAAGCTTGTGCTGCCAACATGTATGATCCTACGGATAGAGTTTACTTCTTCTACGTGGCAGTATATTATTGGATTTTGTTTCGTCCTTGACGTGGATAAAATCTAACGCTCATCGATTTTTGATTCTTCTGCTTGAATCTATCAAGGCCCAATTGAAAGAATAAGATTGGGCCTTTCAAAGCATGTGAATAGTGGCAGGCTTTGCAAAATGCTTGTGGTGTTTCCATTCATTGTCATAGCAACCCAAGGGCAATCACTATTCACATGAGATATGATGAGAGGAATTTGTATAGAGTTTTGGTGTGAGAAATGAAGAATATAACTAAGTATTTATTTAAAAAAATTCTGAAATTCTTAGTTTTTTTTTTTATAGATTTTTTATTGTTTTTTTCGTTGTTGATGTCATCGCTGAGGTCATCAAACCCAGGCAACATCCCAAGTTGTTCTTACCTTCGGGCCTGCCCAGGCTTGTGGAGCTCACCAGCTGCCTGGGCTGCATTTGCACGGTGAAACCTATGCCTAGGGCTTGGGCCCCCTCCTGCCTGAGCCATAGCCTTCTGCTAGAAGTGCTCGGATCTGCGTGAAAAGTGCATACCAAATTTTCAATTCAATATACTTTTGTGATGACTGACCATAACATTTTTACTCATCCTAGTTGAAAGGGTTTTTTTTATAAAAAAGAATCCCTGGTTGAAGAGTTTAACAATAAAATTGACAAACTTTAACAGTAGGACCATCTTGATACCCAAAAAAAAAAAAAAAAAAGTTGAAGGACAGTTCAAATGAAAATTTTAGTTGGTGGACCAAAATGATATTGGAGCAATAGTTAGGGGACCATTTCAGTCATTAACCCTAAAACAAAATATAAAAAAGGAATATTCAAATTTAATATCTCTTTTCAAGAAAATGTAGAGGTTAATATAGGTACTCTATTTTGTGAAGCAGTTAGGCATGTTTACTAACCAGGAATCAGGATAAACATAAATAAGAGCATTCAAGAATCGAAGTCAAGCATTCGAATTAAGTTATTTACTAACTGTCATGAATTAGAATGAAAACAAAATGGATTATCATTAAAACTATTTACTATTGTTAAGAATCGGAATCAAAATCAATTTGATTACCAAAATGCCATTGCAAAACAAATCCAATACCAAATTGTTCAACTACTTACACAATTTTTCAAATGATAAATTTTTTTGTTTTAAACAAAAAGAAAAGAGAAAAGTTTTTTTTTTTTTTTTCGTTTTTGTTCAAGTTCTCTAATTTTTATGTTTATTTTGAAGTTCTGTAAAAATAATCGTGTTTTATAAGTTTAATTCTTACTTCCTAGTATATCTAAATATATACAATTAAGTTAAATATATATTTTTTTTTTTTTGGTGAAAACCAAGGTATCCCCCGCGCGATTGCGTGGACTAACCCTCGAGGTACTGTCGGGCGCAAAGCGGGGACCTCTCCCAACAAAGTCTGCTCTATTCGCAAGCGCCTGGGATCGAACCCAGGACCTCTTGTTTAAAGGATCCAAGCCCCTTCCACTTGGACCAACTCCTGTTGGTAGTTAAATATATTTATGTTCAAAGAAAATGGAATAAACTTGTTTTTTTTCTTTCACAAAATATATGAGGGCAATTTGGGTAAAAAAAATATCCATTCCGATTCATTCATGCCCAACAATACCACCTTCCCCATCTGAAATGCCATTGCCCCTATATTAGGAATCAAAGTCATGATTATATATGGGCCCTGGATCACTTTTCATTCCCAACATATAAGTAAACAAAGGAGTGGTCAGAAATGAGACTCTCATTTCTCGCATTCCCTTTCAAGGTAAGTAAACATGCCTCTAATAAAGTTATTTGTTAAGAGTTGGGTTGAACTGGTACTCGATATTTAATCCCATATAATCAGTGGAGGAGCCATAGTGGGGTCGCATGACCAAGGAAACCATGGAAATAGGCTTGGAGGTCCTCCTCAGCTGGTGGTGTGACCCCTTGCAGCTGCACACCAAATGCTCGATGGAATGTCGCCGCAACATCAGCGTTGTGCTGCATGCACTACGATATTTTTTATTTTTTATTTATAACTGCATGGGTAAAACGCCATTTTGGGCCATGCCTTTAAATAAAAGACCCAACATTTCCCCCTCCAACCCATACTCGATAGTTAACCCTCCCGAACCCCTTCCCCTAATTAGATTACTCTCCAACGCTAACCCCAGCAAACCCCTCACCCGATAGTTAACCCTCCCAAACCTCTTCCCTTAATTGATATATCCTTCATAATTGTAATGAAATTGATATCCTGAAATAATTTTCTAAGCTCTAGAAAATTATTAACGGATAGTTCGTCTAATCCGAGTAGTTCAAGTGTAAGAGCAAGACTGATTGAGTTAGATGAGATATTGACAATTGTAGTCTGTATTATTAGTTTTGCCATGAATTATGAATGAAAGTATTATCTTTTTGTTTTTTAGTGTTATTTTCTTCTTAAACTTTTATACCATGACCCTATGAGGTCACAATTCTCAATCCGCCAATGCATATAACATAGGTTTTAACCATCCGTAGTTTATCAAACAAATAAAATTGATACAATAAATGGTTCTAACCAACCAATATTTATCTGGACACACAACTATTGTTTCTCAAATGGTCTAAAAGAATAGCCGTTGTTTAATGTCGCATGTTTTTTATTTTCTTTTTATAGTTTGTAGGGTGGGCCGTAGCGGATTTAGAAATTTTTCAAGGAAGGGGCAATAAATAAAAGACTAAAAGTTCAAAAATAAAATTAGACAACTAAATACCTTTAGAATTCAACTAAGATTAATCTAAAAAATCAATTTCAATTAATCTAATTGAAATGCATATCAAATTATCAATTAAATAAATAAATTATAATTCATCATACATCTAGTCATGTGCTATTATGTTGATCATACAAAATACAGAGAGAGAGCCAAATCAATAATAATAATAACAATTATTATTTATTATAATAATAAACATATTATATATAAATAACAAACAAAAAGAAAGAAAAAAAAAAAAGAAATGTTGGCCGTGGTGAAGAAGAAAACAAAAACTAGACCTTGAGTTGAGTCAAAGCTCTTATCAAGAGTGACAGGCTCCTCACTCAGCGATGATAATCAATTTATGGCATGTTTACTAATCCGTAATTGGATTAGGGGGAATTGAATTGAGGAGAAGTTGGATTGAGGAGAATTAGATTCTGGATTCCTATTGAATTTATTTACTAAACCATATGGAATTGGGGTAGGAGTGGTACTAATTACTCAAATGTCCTCATTGTTGGGTTAAAGTAGATGACAAATTTGAAATTTTGAATATTGTGTGAGGATATAATGGGTAAAAAAGATGAATTCTTAATGGGTTCATTCTCCAGGAATTAGAATACCACCTCCCACCCAAGAATTGTGTTGGCACTAAAACTGAATAGATAGAGATAAGTGCAACTTACAAGTGATGTGGACGATCTAGCAGATCGATTGAGGGTTAGATGCAGATCCTTCCTGTCCTCAGACGCTGATCCTGAATAGAAGGAAGTCGAGACTCATAAGGTCTATGGAACCGGTGTGGAACCAGCCTAAGACCCTCCGATGCCAAAGTAAGTTTGTTTTCTAAGAGCTTTTGCTGTTGGCAATATATTAGTATAAGAGTCAAGCTGAAAAGTCTTACCCCTGTATTGTAGTGAAGGGTGTGGGGGTCTTTTTGTTCCAGCAGCCAGACGAATGGGCTTGGGCTGCTGTAAAGGATGAGCAGATGTGTGAAATTGCCCCTTTGTGTCTGAGTTCGAAAATTAAGCCCCAAAATGCTTCGAAAGGGCAGCAAGGCCTTAGGAAGTATTTTGGTTATCTTCACCAATAAAAATAACAAAAAATTACAGATAAATCTTCTAGCTTTGCATGAGAAGATTATGGCATGGGAGCAAAATTAGCATGGGTTTAGCACTTGAGAGAAAACTGAGTATTCTTAGGGGAAAATAGGTATTGAGGTAGGAAATGAAGAATTAGCAGAGAGGTTTGGCTGAGAATGAGGGAAAAGAGAGAAATGGGTGGCTTGAGTATATCTTCCGGCAGCTTGGCAGTGACTCTGAGCAGCCTGCCAGAAGGGAAAAATGGGGGAAATAAGAGTAATAGACCCAAAAAGCACGAAAATTACTAAGTTTGCAGGTGAGGGAGAGGAAGCTTGCTCTCTGAAGTGTGTGTTGTGTTTCTTCCCAATCTAGCTAAGCTTTCCTCCTTCTTTCTTCTCCTCTTTCCTGACTTACTTCATGGTGGCAAGGTCAGCTCTTGTCCAATCCCACAAAATCAGAGGTTTTGGGTGCTCCAAGCTTCTTCCAGCGGCTGCCTCAGAAGGGAGCTTCCCCTTTTCACCCATCTTCTTTCTCCTCTTTCTTCCCCCTTCCATGGCCAAATCTGATGAAGGAAAGAAAGTGGGTGCGCCTGCTGGTTTAAGAGATGGCATCCCTTCTTGCGTGCTAATATCCTTTGGTTCCTTGAAGGATTTTTGCTTGGAACTTGCTCCCAAGCCTCCCAGCAGCCCCTTCACGTGTGGACTTCCAACGTTCCTTTGTGGTTTTGTCTTCAAACTGAGTGCTAGGTCTGATTCTGCCTTTTTATTCTAATTTCATAGGCTTTTTAAGTCCACCACATGATTCATCCAATGGATGTGATATTTTGATCAAGTGTTGGGCCTTTTAGTTGGTTTATTCTAATTGGGGCAATGGGCTTATTTTGGTTGGGCTATTCTAGTTGGAGCA